TAACAAGTAGTTAAAGGCAAAGAGGTGATACATTAATAGAAATACCAACTTTTGTTGTGTCAAAAATGGTTAAACGAAAGAAGCTTATTAGTGTCTAAAATGACTTTTAACTAAGAATAAAATTCTCAGAAGGTAATATTTTCGCGAGCTACCCCAGTTCTAAAGAAAAAGTCATTTTACAATCCACGAAAGCCAAGATATCGATGATTTTCGGACCACGAGCGGTTCTGAGCGCGTAATATTAGATTCCACGTCAGCCACACTCAAGCAGCTGCTGAGAAGGGGGTTCTTTTAAGCCTCGGTCGGGACTGTCAGCACGCAAGTAACCCCCACTTTTGCATTGTATTTTTAATGATAAACAGCAGTTAATAATTATCAAACACTTTTTTCTTAAAAATATCAGTATTAAAGAGTAACGTTTCCCAATCTTAACAGTCTATGTTAATTAGTAGGTCTTTAAGCGTTTTTTTTTTTTTTTTTTAATTAGAAAAAATTCTAACTTTTTGATAAAAAAAGTCCGGTACAATTTTTACTGTATATGTTGATAATACTGAATTTGCAATTAAGTGATTTTTTCTGTAACTCATTTTACCATCAATCTATTACGGAAACTGAATGAATTGAACGAGGAATGTTTAGTACAACTCTTTGCGAACAAAATAAATTGCTGTTAGACACTGTAGGACACCTTACGGTTGAAGAAGACAATTTTCAAAAAACCGCTTTATTATAAACAACTGCAATTGTGCGAAAACCATTGAAGGTACAATATCTAGGTTTGCAGCTGCGATCATGCCATACAAAAGCTTTGATTTTTTCGCATTTTTTGACATTTTAGATTGATTGTTTCTTAGTTATAAGCAAATTATTTAAAAACGACTATTTAAGCGTTGTTCACATTTAAAACTAAACTAATTATCCGATTGTCAACTATCGTTCCTTATTTCGTACGTATTTTGAATACCTACATTTTTTTATACTAAGTATTTTATTAATAAATCTAATTGAAGTTATATAAGAAATTGAGTTCACGATATTTTTTGTTGTAGTTGGAGGCAATCTAAAAAGAAAATCAGCATTGGCGTTTGACGCTGTGTGTTTGAACTCAACCATGCAATTAAAGTGAACCAAATAGTCGGTGTAATTTGCCATCCTGCTGATGCACAACACTGGAAGCGATTTCTCCGGGTGTAAAATCTGAGTCAGCGGTTTGTGATCAGTAATAAGATAAAAATGCCTTGCATAAAAATATCTAAAAAACTTTTTGACCAGCCAAACGATGGCCAGGGCCTCCCTTGTCGATTTGGGTGTACTGGTGACGTCATGGTGCGTGCAGCATACGCAATTGGTCGCTCTGTCTTATCGTCGAACAGGTGCGATAAGACAGCTCCCAGTCTAACCTTGCTCGCATCTGTAGCCAGGACTAGAGGAATTGATGGGTCATAAGGCATCAAGACCTGGGGAGAGACTGTGTATAGTGTACCTTTCTATTCAACTCAGATTAATAAATTAACTAAGTAATGCTACAAATATTCTTTTGTTTAATTTGCTTGCCCCATACATAACAAATTTGTGGCAGAAGTTAAAGTGATACACTCAGTAAAGAGAGAAAAGTTGGTAGCGTCAAAGAAAGTCTGAGTGTCCAAGATGGCCACCATTTCGCCAGAAGTGCAGGAAGCTATCGCGCAAGCATTGGCGAGGGCTTTAACGGCTGCAGTGCCAGCTTTTTTGGCCGCTGTCACTTCAGGGCAAGAGCAAAGTACAAGCTCACGGCCATCACCGTTTCATCAGAGTACCGGAAAACCTACATTTAAACTACGTACGAGTGCACATAGGGACAAAGCTAAACGACGCTTTCAAGTCATTGGTTGCCCCGAAGACTCCTGATACGTGCACATTCGCCAAAATTACAACGGCATTACAAACACACTTCGACCACGAGAAAAATAAGTATACTGAAAGTGTAAAGTTTCGTCGCATTATTCAGCGTTAAGACTAAAGGATAGCTAGCTCCGATTTCGCTATTACTATCAACTATTCTGTATTACTTTCTTCATTATTTTTTGTCCAGTTATCCTAGGCTTCAACATCACGAGCAAGTAACTGGTAATCATAAAACATTATTGAATAAAAGTGTTTTTGACAATTATTCATTGTAACACTTATTGTTTTGTTATGGAATATAGAAAAAAAAGCAAATCAGCATTTCGCATAAAAAATTTCATTTGGTCTAGTATGTATAATTTTGAAAAATAATCAACACGTGTGGCTTCTTTTTTTTTTTTTTTTTAATAAAATAGCCCCTTATAGATTTTCTATTTTTCATAGCTATAGATGTATTCTTTGTATATGTTATGTCATAAAGACATACGTCATTTTGGTTTTTTATTATAAGACGAGAAAAAAATTTTTTTTGTTTTTTAACTTTCAGGAATACTTAGTTTTGAGATTCTGTAGACAAGGCTAAATTTTAAGAAAATTTTATGTAACCATTTCTGTGTTATTTCAGGTTATATGTTGAGTTCATACTTTTTTCAAAACGCTGTACCTCTAAAAGTATTAAATCATTTTTTACTCTTCTGTGCTCATTTTTTTTAACGTTATTATAGAGCATTTATGTGTAATGTATACTTTACAATGATGCATACATATGGTATTTTGCGTAACTTTTAAAATACCATAATTTTCAGGTACTTTACCTATTTTAGTTTTTATTTGTAAAAAAAAAATGTACGTGTCGATTACTTCTTTACATTTTATAAGACGTACTAAGTACAATTTTTCATGCAAAATCCTATGTAACGTACGATAGTATAGGTGAGATTCTACGCTCCTTCTCCTCAAACCTCATAACGAGGGACCCTAGGGCCAAGGGAAGGGAAGCGCGAGCAAGGAGAGAGTCTATCGGGGCACGAGCCTTTGAAGGGAACACACGCGCTATCTTGCCTATGATTACAGTATCTTGGATAAAGGTCCTTGAAGTAATAAGTGTTGATCATTCTTGCCAGGCACCTCCTTACCAATATCTTCCTTACGTAACAGTTTCTGGTGCTAAGTGTGGGGTACGGTAAGAGTTGGAATTTTTTTTTACTTTCATTGTACTCGTTTCAAAGAAAATTCCGTCGAGAAGCACACATAGTGCAGTGCCGCCAGAATACGACGATTTGAAATTAAGAAGCCGAGAATTTGATCAGAGACAACAGGACCGGTTAACAAGTAGCGGCGACAGCAGCCCGGAAGCCAGTAGGACTAGGGTAACGATTGCTGATAACCACAGAATCAAAAAGACAAGAGGCAAGGGAAATGGTCCCAGAAATTTTATTCCTATTGGTATGCATATCGACTAGCACGTGAGTACTTATTTAGTAAAATTAATCGTATCCCTTATTTCCAAGGCAAAATTGGAGAGGCACTAATTATGTAGACATAAGAGCGTTTGATTCTTATTCTTTTATTCTTGATATACATATATTATTTATCCGCCATACTTATAAACATTATATAAATGAACTTATTATTTCGTCCACTCCCCCTTTTAATGTTTTTTCTTAAACGCAAAAAATATAAATCACACGATAAAATAGACTTATAACTCATTCGATTAGTAGAATTTTTGTTGGGAAAACGATTCACGTGATAAGAGAATTCGAGAACAGGGAGAAAAATCAGTGACTCGTAACGCAAAAACTCGACGAGTCCGTTGAAAATAAAAAACAGCAGAGACCAGAGGGGAGAAAGAACAGCGTCTTAAGGAGAGGCTAAGTGCCATAAATTGGATTAAGCACGAAAAGTAGGGAAACTCTCTTGCCCGTCTGTTCTCTCTCAAGCTGCTGCAGCTAGGTGAAAGGGACCAAATATTAGGACCTGAACATAACAAATGTCGTATCGAGAGCTGGTAGAGGGGCCCTCAGCATTATCTCCTCCGATACAACAAACCCACGCGTCTGCACTCACTCGGAACCTACTACACTGACTCAGAGTGAGCCGAATTTTCCAAATAAGAACAGAGTGTGTTGTGTGAGCAAAACAGATACACTTAAGAAAACCAAAATCACACAAAGAGATGACATAGAACAGCAAATGCTAAAATTAGAATTAGAACCAAGCAGGTGCGAAAAATTAGATGCGTTGGATGTGGAAACTAGAGCAGTGGTAATGGGGATCTTTGCTTCAATGAAGGCGAAAGTAAAGAAAAACCAGAGAAAAGAAGCAAAGCAACAACAACAATAAATGAAACCGGGTTAACGGCAAACAAAAACAAAGGGGATAAATTGAATGATACGAGGGGGATGGACTAGATAGAGACTAGAGAAATAAAGCAGTATGAAACGGATAGGACATATCAAAACTGGGGAACTACACAAATTTTTGCGACCCAGGCGAAAGAAATGGGCCCACAAAGAATACCAGGGGATACAGATATTTTTGGGTGGCCTACCTCGCCGGCCATACATGACGACTGGAGGGGCATGAAGAGTACATTAATAGAAAACGATGGAAGACGTCACCTGGAGAGCAGAATCAGAGAGATCAGTGAAGAACTAGCATGGATGAAAAAAGCGGCTTTTGCATGGGTGGCTCGCCCTACGTATAGAGACCAACCCACTTGGACTGTCCCGCAATCACTCAAACAAAGACAGGGAGATGATATATTTCTACATTTACAACCAGGTGAGGAGAGAGCCTATATGGGGCACGATGAAAACGGCACACAAAGCCCACTACAAAATATTCTACCGACACTCTGACATATGACAAGCAACATCCCGTTCTTCGACGGGGACCCAATTAACCTACCACTGTTTGGGAGAATGGTGTAAATGGTTGCACCGCAAATAGGGCCGGAGAACGAATTATTTTTTTCGGGCACCCTCACCAACACACTGAGAGGTAAAGCAGCTGAGCATTTCGCCCCAAGACTGACCCAGTTTCAAACGGTGCAAGAATTTCTCCAGGAACTTTCAAAGAGGTAAGGAAGCATAAACAACTCAGATACCCTAATGGCAAGGCTAAAAATAATCAAGCAGCAAAACAACGAGTCAATAGAAGACTATGGCGGGAGGGTGCAACATTGGTACAACAGACTGATGATGCTACACGATTCGAACCCAAACCTATTGCCTATCCAAAAACAAATGCTGAAGGAAAGCGTGGAAGCAGAGGCAGTGAGACAATTTACTTATGGTCTACAGCCAACATTTAGGCGTAAAATCACTAGTCTAAACCCGAGGACCCTCTGTGAAGCAATCATAGACGCACTGAATCATAGAGGAAATGATAATGCTAACAACAACAATTACAAAAATTATAACAAGGGCAACAACAATGGCCCAATGGAGCCTTATAACGCGAATAATAATTACTACAGCAGAAATAATCATTACAATAATAGAAATAACAACTACAATGACAGGAATGATAACTTTAATTTTAATAATTACAAAAATTATTACAGGGGTTATAACAATGGCGCAACAGAGGCTTATAATAGGAACAATAATTACAATGATAGGTATAATAATTACAATACCAGAAACAATAATTATAACGGCTATCGGGGCAATGGGGACTCATACAATAACTACAGAAGGGACACATCCAACCATTATGGAAATGACCATACAAATCAGGACAGTAGGGACGGCTATAACAGAAACTTTATAAGACCTGGGCCACCACAAAATAGAGGCCCACTGGAGCAGAGAAACGGCGAATACGGCCCTGATAATAGGAGAAATGGATCGGCTGCTTTTAACTCGCAAGATGTTCGGCGTGGTCCCCAAACGCCTAGCATGAACTAGAGAGAGAGAGACGGAAAAAAGCGTGTCTGGCGGAGAAGAAGATGCTGGAGAGAAGCCGCAAAAGGCGGAGCAAGAAGTAGTGGAAGCAGAGACGCACAACAGTCTTAGCTACAACGGCTGGAGTGCACATTACATGTTGTCCCCCATGACTTCCCTATTGACGCGGAAGGAATCATAGGGTGGGATACTTTTAAGCGATATCGGGGCCAGATAAGCGCTGCCGAGAATATGATTAAATTAGAAGATGTAGAGATACCACTGATACAACCAGAGTGTTTTAAAATATCTGCAAAATCGAGACAAATAATTTATGCGCAAATAAAGGAAAGCATAAATAAAGTAGAAAATGGCTGGATACCCCTCCAAAAGACGGAGGAAGGAATATTGTTCGAAAATTTTATAGCCAAAAATATTAATGGAAAAATAGTCGCAGAATGCATTAATACAAGTGACGAGATAAAATGCGTGCCTGTTCCAAAAGTAGAGCTGCTACATTACGAAGAAATTTATCGGAAGCACTCAGACGTTGAAGGAGACAATGTCGAAAGCTTGGGGGAAACGGTAATAAGGTTATTTAACGAAGAAATAGGAAATGATGGAGAAAAAACCGAAAATCTTACAAAAGTCGAAGAAGAGTTAGAGAAACAAAAACGCTTAGATAAGATGATATAACTTGTAGACACAGCTGGTTGCAACCATAAAGAAAAAGAACATGTAAGGAATCTAATTGAATCAAATAAACAAGAAGAGCCAAACATACATGATTTATTAGAGGGAAGGTCCGATGAATCACGGGCTCTAGTAATGATTGAAATTAAAATGCGAGATGTAGAGGGAAGGCCAGGAATGAGGATTGCCGTGTGGGAGCCCAACAAAAAGCGCATAAGGCCCCCACCTGAACCACAACCTCCACTGGACCTTTAAAGAAATGGTAAGCTATTGACTGAAGAGAGTACAACGATGATAGTTATATCAATATTAATAATATTTATAACGATGATAGTAATATTAATAATGATAATTATAATAATAATAATAATAATGACAAAAGAAATACAGAACATAAGAAATATAAAGCTAGTATACCGACATAGTATATTGTATAGTAAGACAGGATAAACAGAAACATACGTGTATAATGTATATATATATCGGTAAAAGCGTTAGTTTTCATTAATTCGTGGCCCTCGGATGAGCCGCAAGTGAGCGACAAATCATACGAAAAGAAATTATGAAATAAGTGATTACTGCGCAACCAACAGATATTCTGACAATTAACCCACCCCCTTGTAGAGAAAGACTATTGATAAAATACGTACAAAAATTCAGTTTTCTAAAGTTTTTGCGGCCCCTGGACGCAGCACGAAAATGTGACAAGAAGAGAGGGATTATTTATGCTTACGATAAAACTTTTTTTTATGAAAAATAAATAAAGCAATTTCAGGAAAAATAAAACTAGTTTTTGAAAAGGCCCACGAGCCCACGTCAAGTATGAGAGATTGAACCTTCTCTTCTTCCTTCCTTCTGTTGTTCTCCATCAGAAACAATCCCACTCCTACCATCATGATATGCTGATAACCACAACACTTGAAACGTCACACATAATCGTCACGAGGTATAGAATGGACTGCCATGTGTAAAATAACGAACAGCCCGTTCGTCGGACCGTCCACCTTAAAAGGAATAATTAACCCCACCCAGCGTGTGGCAGTGTTTCCTCAGGACTTGGCCGTCGAAGGACAGCTAGGAAGCCCTTGTGGAATCCTGGAACACCTCCTGGACAACAATACCACATTACCAGCCCACCCTCGTTCAAACAGTGGCGTCGATACTGGAAAGAAGGCTAGAGAAGGCTAGGAAGGATAGAGATCTACAACAACCAAAAAAAAGGCAAGAATGCTTGTAATCATTAAAGCCACTACCTACACAACGACATTGTGCATTAGTGCACGTGAGCTGCTCCTGCAGAATTGCGTCCATGAGGACAGCACACAGATATTCTCGTGGTGCGAAAAATCATGTTTCCACATGAGCAGTGTCAAAGCTTAGCTTCGGAAACTCAGACAACGGTGCGAACACCTTAGAAAGCACACTTTCTCCAGAGACCTATAGAAAAAAAAAAAAAAAAAAAAAAAAAAAAAAAAAAAAAAAAAAAAAAAAAAAAAAAAANAAACGTAAATGCGGAATGCACGGCCGTAAAATGATTCATTTTAATTCATACCTCCAAGCTCGGCGCTACCAAAATATAATTCAAATGTAAGATAACCGATCGTTAAATTATCTGACTATACAGTCTTCTCGAATATGTTATATGACTCTGTAGGCAAGATAGGGCACACAATATTATAACCGACCATTCACATACTCAGTAACCGACTCATACGCACACGTAGAACCGATGTGAAACAAGTAATGACAACAAAAAAAACGTATTTGCGATAGAAAATTTTGAAACGTACAAAAAGTACTTACATAAATAAAAAATAAAAATAATATTTGTACAAGAAGGAATGCAAGATAATTAAAGGATACGCTCATTGTTATATTTTTTATACGTGAGGAGAGAGCCACACTTGCAGCTCAACGCTAACCGAATAAAGGGGAGATGCACGAGAAAGGATAAGGTACATACGGTAATACATCTAAATAAATAGCTATCAATGGGATATAAATTGTGTTAGGACAAGTATTTACCACAGGTCTAAAGCGCGGGCCCGTAGTCAAGAACCAGGGTTGGCAACTAATAGCTAACAGCTTTATATATTACAGGGTTAATAAATTCGGTATGGGGCTTCTTTTTCTTACGTATAAGTACCTTCTCCATTGGGGGGCCCTACTACTAATATGTTATAGAATGTTCACAGGTAAACAAAGAGCTCAAGAGGAAGCACGAGAATTAGTAATAATGCAAACCGCGACGACAGTAGAACTCGGAGCAGAAAGGCGACTGCAATCCTCTAGACGGATACTAGAATTGCCGGTGACCGGGATACAAAATTAAAATTCGTGAGCCTCGAGGATGAGCGCCAGGAGTCGCTCGACTATATCACAGGGCGCAGTCCGTAGAACGATAATAAGAAAGAATTTTTTTTTTTTTTTAAATATGTAACATCGGGAAATTTTTTTAAGTTTGTATATGTATGTAAACGAAAAAAAAAAAAAAAAAAAAAAAAGTTCCCAAAATTGAAAAAAAAAAAAAAAAAAAAAAAAAAATGGAAATTTTGTTTTTGAGGGGAAAAATAGCGAAAGAGCAACGAACGAAATTAGCAAATGCATCCATGGCGTGGCGTTAAGAGTTAAAGCAAACGAGAAATATCCATATAATCCCTATCCTAAACCTCATCATGTTAGAGAAGAGAGAGGGGGAGTAGCAGAAAAAATATAGTATCAGAAAATGTAAAGATAAAAAAAACACTAGACAAACGTACGACACAGGTCCAAACGTAAATGCGGAATGCACGGCCGTAAAATGATTCATTTTAATTCATACCTCCAAGCTCGGCGCTACCAAAATATAATTCAAATGTAAGATAACCGATCGTTAAATTATCTGACTATACAGTCTTCTCGAATATGTTATATGACTCTGTAGGCAAGATAGGGCACACAATATTATAACCGACCATTCACATACTCAGTAACCGACTCATACGCACACGTAGAACCGATGTGAAACAAGTAATGACAACAAAAAAAACGTATTTGCGATAGAAAATTTTGAAACGTACAAAAAGTACTTACATAAATAAAAAATAAAAATAATATTTGTACAAGAAGGAATGCAAGATAATTNTAAAAAAAAAAAAAAAAAAAAAAAAAAAAAAAAAAAAAAAAAAAAAAACACATATGAGAATTGTAGCTAAAACTATAATAATAATAATAAGGGTAACAATAATAATAGTAATAAGGAAAAGAGGATGAGCGCCGGGAGTCGCTCGACTGTATCGGGGGGCGCAGTCCGTAGATCGATACTAAGAAAGAATTTTTTTTTCTCTTCCCAAAATATGTAACAGTGAGAGAGTTATGTCAAGGTCTATTGAAAAAAAAATGAAATAAAATAAAGTAAAACAAAAAAAAATAATTTCAGCTTTAATATTAGCAATAATAATGATGATAAGAATGTGGATGAAAGTGAGCGCCGGGAGTCGCTCGACTGTATCGGGGGGCGCAGTCAGTTTGGAGGAGATCCAAAAATATTTTTTTGTGTTCACTTGAATACTATAATAAGAAGTTTGTACGGATTTTTTTTGTAGTTAAACACGTGCGGAAGTTAAAATGGAAACTACATTGTAAAACAAGATTTAATGTAAATTAGTATTAAGCAAATGCCCACCTCAAGGCAATTTTGTACATAATTGTAATACAAGGCAAAGCGCATACACAAACAATATTGATATACACTCGATACACGATGAGAAGAAAATTGAATAATTGGAAGAGCAAAAATATTAATGTAAAGAGAACAGCGGTTCCTTATAATTGAATGAAAGAATAAGTGCAAAATACCAAACTACATAAACAACTCAGACAACAAGATACAATACACACACACATAAAGTTGCAAACAAGTATACAGACTCAACACTATACAAATTAAAAAGTCAGCGTCGTCGAGGACAACGAAGTCGTGGCTTCAGACGTGTAACGTACGATAGTATAGTATAGGTGAGACTCTACGCTCCCTCTCCTCAAACCTCATAACGAGGGGCCCTAGGGCCAAGGGAAGGGAAGTGCGAGCAAGGAGAGAGTCTGTCGGGGGAGTAAACGACGAGCCTTTGAAGGAAACACATGCGCTATCTTGCCTATGATTACAGTATCTTGAATAAAGGTCCTTGAAGGAATAAGTGTTGATTATTCTCGCGAAGCACCTCCTTACCAATATCTTCCCTACGTAACACCTAATAGTGTTATGATTAATTCATATTTATGGACCTACTGCTCTAACGCAGTAATACTATTATTACCAAAAATCACACTTTTTGTTTAAAAACTATATTTTT